GAATTTTAAGTAATATACATCAATATACAATACTTTATATATAAAAAATGATTTTTAAGAATTTTTATCAAATGTTTTATAATATAATATAGATATAAAATTACATTATTATATATTTTTTTTTCATAAAATCCATTTACTATTATTTCATTTAATAAAAAAAATAATGAGATAATTGTCGATTTGTCGTGCAGCAAAACGACAGGGGATTGTGTAATAACAAGTTCTTTGAATGAAGAGAAGTGGGCCTTTGCGTTTGGTACACGAGCCCATATCAAATCCACGTGACAGGCCATGCGTTGTCGGCCACGTGTCGAATTATTATGCGATGAGAAGTGGAAAGAACACACAAATTCAATCATAACTCGTACGTTCCCTTGTATCCCACGTTCATGTATTCTGTTGTTTCAAGTTGTCGTGCGTCACTCGCCGCAAAACAAACAACAACTTGGATTCACAAATTTTTAAAATTCTGATATTCACATGTGAATCGGATAAATCCTTGTTTTTCTTTCGTGATAACGAATATGACCCATTCATATAAAAGGATTGACGGGATTTGAACCTAAATTTCATAGTACATATTACACGTGTGAGGCTTCTGGGCCCTAATTGGCACCTCTGATATGAACAAAATTATGACACTGACAAATAACAGTATTTTTTGCGTTATCTCATGGATCAGAATAATGATACAACAAAGCGTTTCATGTATGTATTACAATATATGTGTTACATATATAGCGACTACAACATACATATCACAAGGTACAATCTTGTAGGGGTGTTAAATTCATATCAAAACAAACCAAACCGAACCATCCAACACAGTATATGGTGTAAAATCATAAATCATGGTAGTACTGGATTGGCGACTCTGCTCTCTCTTGCTCTCTCCCGATTGTCAGTCGTAGCAGGCCCTGTTATCGTTGTTTGTGTTTTGAGTTTGGACGCTTTCTTACATGTTTGAAATATTGTTTGATTCGTGAGGATCTCACGGAACATGACATTTTTTGAAACTTTGTATTAGTTTTTCGGGTAGTGAACATTGTAACTTTGAACTTTTTTAAGCATATAGTATTTATACACGGCAAATGCAACAATTAACTCACACACCCACCTCAGATTTGGTGAGATTTTAACTACTGACCTCCCATGAAAGCCAAAGGCCTGGATACCGCTTGACCAAAGACTCTTTGATTTGTAACTTTGGACTTCGTTTATGTATTGATCGTATTTTGTCTTGTTTTGCGTATTCAACTTTCATATTTACAATGTCGGTACAGAAACAATACAAAAAAAACAAACGCCTCCGAACCTAAGTCATCACCATCTGTTAATAGTGGACTCTCAGAGTATCTGATTCCTTCTTCATCAGCTATTTCATCATCAACATAAAGAATATTCATTCTCTAGATACAATGTCTTGAATTTTGTAGTAGCTATCTAAAACATCATTAAGACAAATACAAACCTCGAGCAATTCTATTACAAATCGTGTCACTCGTTCAAAAACACCGTTGTCACTAGAAGAAAAGACAAAATTATAATGATCTTTTACCTCTCACGAAAACAGGCGTTCTAGCCTTTCGAGTAAATGATATGTTTGCATACATCCATCCCTCAAACCCTGCTTTCGAGTGGGATATACAGTAATCAAAATTGGTTATCAAGTCATAATAACCAAATGTCAAAAGTGTCAGAAGGTCTCAGGTTCAAATCCAAGGAGAAACAAAAATCCCCTTGTGGCCACGGAGGTTCAAATGCGGTGACTCCGGGCTACGTGCAAAGCAGGTGGTCGCCCTGGGATTAGTCAGCTCGCATAGCGGGTTGGATATCCAAGTTAATAAAAAAAAAATAAGTATCAGCCAAAAAAACCTGAAAAGGTCTCATGAAATCAACCAAAAAACGTCTTTCGAAATCACCCAAAAAACTTAATAAATACCCTGAAATCAACCAAAAACGCAGAAAATCCCTCGAAATGATAAAATCGGTTAAAACACACATAAAACCGACTTTTCAAGTTTTTGATACATCTTAAAACGTGTAACCGCTCAACAAATCGATATCTGAAGTCAAATAACGTATTAATTAATGAATTAAAAATATTAAAAATATAAAATCACGATTTGAGGAATTAATAATTAATTGTGAGACATTACCAAGTTCATTGTATATTGGCCTGTTTGGTAGGAAAATATACGACGACACCCCCACCCACGTGACTTCCGCATGGGGTAAAATTGTAATTTATCCGACATAATGTTAAGGAATGTATTCAGGTGCAATGAATCAAAATATAGGTTATAATTCTTTATATCTTCAAACACCCAATTAGCATGTTATCCATGTGCCTTTGGTAAGGGGTAAAAACGTAATTTAACACATCAAATCTTTGTAAGATATGTAGATACAATGAATCAGATATGATTTTATGCGTACCGAATCCCTAAATTGATGCCGAGGGTCGTGAAAACTTTATTGTACATGAGAAAACAGATCCGAAAGGATCTTGAAACGTTGGTTAGGGCTCAGGATCCCGAGGATCTTGAAATGCACAGACTTTTATTGTAGATAAGAAATGCAACCTCATACAATGAATCGGATATGGTTTTTCCGAGTTGCTTGATCATCAGATGACTCCCTAAACTGGGGCTGTGGGTCTTGAAATGCACAGACTTTGTTGCAAGTAAGAAACGTATCCGTGTGTGATATTTGCATATGAATTTAAGAGATTATTGGTTTCTAGAAGAAAACTATGGGGCTGTTTACCAAACGTTTATGACGTAAGCGCTTACTGGTGTCACTTACCTTATTGGGTGAGTTTGGCAAGTGTCGAGAATCTTAGTTGGTAAGAGGCGTAACAAGGACCGACAATCTGACTTCGTAACGAGGGAGAAAACTTTTACTCGTAAAGATTTACCGAGTAAAAAAAACTTACCAACAATCCATTTTTAATAGCTGACAGTGTTACCTATAAGATAAGTAATGGTGGTAACTTTTGTTGGTAAGCGCTTATTCGGCAAGCGTTTGGTAAAAGACACCTGACTTATGGATTAAAACAATTAGGGTCGTTTGTGTGCATACTGGTTTTTTATAATGAATAAAATATGTTAAAGGAATTTGAAGTGATTTGACAATACATTTGGCTCGAAAAGTTATAATGGAATTTATTTCATTTATGTGAACTTTTTGCATGACTCATTAACGTAATTTTGAAATTACAAGATGACCATCGTGATTTGAGTTCAGATCTGGTCCATACTTCTAATGATCGTTAAAAAATTTCGTTAAATAAAGGACATTTTTCGTCATTTTATCTATTCTTTTACCTTTGTCCAATCAAAATCGATTTTATTATTCTGGTCCCCATGGTTTTTGATTGAGTAAAAGACAAAAAAAATTGATAAAAGAACAAAATTGCTTCTTATCTAACTGAATCTTTTAGCGCTTGCTAGCGGGATGGACTAAAATTCGAAAGATTTTTTGCAAACCATGATGACCATTTTGTAATTTTAAAAATATAAGAACGAAAAGTGTTAAATTTGAAAAAGCACAAGGACTAAATTTGTAGTTTACTCTAAGATTAATTGAATTATATTTAAGAGTGGAATTGAATTTCATCAAAGTCCAAAGAAGTGCCATGGCCCAGTTCATAATTTCATATGATTTGGGCCCAAGCCCAATAGCAATATGCTAGTTACAAAACGTTACACATCACACCCCTCATATATTAGAAAATTACAGACAACCCCATCATTTTGACAAGACATGCAGGCTTGCAAATTAAACCACTACAAACTAATTCATGATATCATATGTCAATGGGCCAAAAGACTAGAAAGAAGTTGGAAATCTTGATACATGTAAACACAATGAACGTGTATAGTAAGTTAGACATAAGGGTATTCTAGACATTTACTTAGATGGCGGCTGTTTTTTAGGAAGTGTTAAATATGAAGTCTGATTTCATTTCTGATTTATATTAGATGATACTGAAGTCCAAAATCTGGGTCGGTAAGACCATTTGTGCAAAAATATAAAAGATAAATAGTTTTTGCTAACAAATATCTTCAATCCCCAAAATATGATCAATTTAATAGAGAGCGGATTAGGATTAACAGGTATTAAGGGATACGTTTACCACTTAAAATTTCAGAGGACATTTAAAACTTTTAGGCCCTTGTTTAAAAAAAACAAACGCTCTTAATACCCAAACGTCTGAATGAATTAGACTTCAAAGATATTAAAAGACAGTATTTAAAAAACAAACAGACACTTAATCATATTCGTATATAAAAAGTTTAGTTTATAAGGATAAGGCATAATCAACTGAAAATTCTATATATTAATAATAATTGCAAAAACTGTTATCACAAGGTTGTTGCACATGGGATTTTCCATTTAAGGCTATAATTTAATATATTGATTAATATATATTTGTTTTACAATGTGTTTGTTTTAAATGTATTTAGTTCACAATGTGATTTTTAGTTGTATTTTTTGTTTTACAAACACAAAAAATGTTTACATTCTAATACAAGTATATGTAAACAAAGACATTGTGAAACAAATATATGTCAAACCAGGAGGTAATCTATATATCCCGATATTTGTCTATAGGTTAGAGTTCTGAACGACATGCTCATCGTGTGTTGGACGTTAGATTGGTTACCCTTTTCGCTTGTGATAATTCATTGAACTGGACAGAATTGGACGATAATCAGATATGTGTGAAAGAATTCTCGAAGATTTTATAGTTTTAATTTAACATTGCTAGTTTAGTAATTTACCAATCTTGTTTCATTTCCCAGAGTTTTGTTCCACCCATTTTAGCAAGCTAAAAAAATGCCGTTTTGTGCCACTTAGAGTTACCGCGTACCATTCTAATATTGTATCAAATGCGAGACAAGTTTTTGTACTGTAATATCAGCCATGTCCCACATACCGAACACACCCTCAATGTACCGCATAGTACTTGCACACGAACACCAAGCGAGTACTCAAAACTCATATTCACAACATAAGAAGATTCGCATACTAAAAAACACGAAACCTATTGATCGAGCTACAAAAACGTCTACGATCAAACCTAATTAGAAGCGTAGTTTACAAACATCTCTCATTCTGTACATTCCAAAAAAAAACACAGTTTTTATCGTCAATGTTTCTTAGATACATCGATAATTACACGCAATATTACACAACGATCTTCATCTCCGGCCACACCAACACATGACGGGAATCGGAGAGACTCATGCCGGATGATCGTTTTCTTCTTCAGAGAATACAATTTAGCCATCGAGAATATGATTTCTAACAATAGAAACATATTAGCATCGCGTTTTTGCTCAAGGGTTCAGAAGTTTACTCATTTTTGTTGGCAGATGATGTCGAGATCCGATCTTTTGATGCAGAATCTTGATTTTTCGGTGGTCGGTTGGTGAAAGCGGTGTTATTTCGTCTATAATCCGGCTGACGACAAGCGAAAACCCTGAGAGACAACCAGACAAGTGTGTTTCATTGCTTAAGGAAAGTAATCTTTTTGAGACTAGATATATATGTATATCATTACTTTCCTCATGCATATGATCAAGAAGTTGTATATGTGTTTGTGTGTGTGTATATATATATATATACACTCTCAGTAGCTTCGGGTTTGACTCATGGGATCGTAATCGTAGGCATCGCCAGCTTTGACGAAACGCCCTTTCACGCGCTTTCTTACATCTGCTCTTGCTTTTCGTGTAGCGTATCTCACTCTCTTCTCAAACCTACATCAAAAACGGAAAGCAATATTAGGAGCTTTAACCTAAAAAAAATACGGAAACAATCGCTCAACCCTGATGTGCAGAGGACAAGTTTGCATATATCCCACACCATAACTTGCTTTCGAATGGGATATGTCCGAATTCCACATCGGGTTATAGGACGTCAAAATTGTGGAAGTGTCCCAATAGACTAATTTTATAGGGCATAAATTTATAAAATCAAACGTTAAAGTGTCCTATCTAAAGGTGTTGCAATATGTTTATGAGACGCTTTGAGCATCTTAACAAGTTTTTTAGGACATTTATGTCCTTATAAAACAATCTATTGGGACACTTACACAATTTTGGTGTCCTATAAACCCAATTATTTTGTAGTGGTTGAAACCGAGAGAATATGTAGAACCCCAATCAATTTCCAAAAGAGCCCTTGAGGAGAGAAAGGAGGTTCCAACATATATAGAGGAGAATTGGTTCAAGTCTAGCTGATGTGGGTCTCTAACACGCCCCCTCCAGCAGGGGCTAGACAAAGTGTCGAGAGGGGGCTAGGCGAGTACAGTTTGCCCCCGAGTGTCAAGTCCTTAAAGTGGACATCCTAATTAATCTCCAAAGAGCCAATGACGAGTGAAGGGAGGTTCCTATTAAATTCTCATATTGGCTAAACTTGGACCAATTCTAATCTATAGGGTTCCACATATTCTTACATGGTATCAGAGTCTACCACTCAAGGGACTCGACACTTGGGGCAACTTATACTCATCTAGCCCCCTATCGGCACTTTGTGACAATTCATGTCTATCTAGCCTCCGTTGGAGGGGGGCGTGTTAGAGTCACGCCTCGGCCAGACTTGGACCGTTATTGCTCAGTAGATGTTGGAACCTCCCTTCTCTCCTCAAATCCTCTTTTGGAGAGTAATCTAACGAAGTTCCACGTATTCTCAGAGGATATACTATATCGGGCTTCATTTGGTTTGCTAATATATAAAAACCACTACGAAAGATGTCAATGAAAACTTATAAGGCACTTACTTGCGGGTCTTCTTTTTTTCCTTGTAACGGAGGACAGCATCGTTCCTGATACCTGAAGGAGTGGTGGTTTCATGAGCCTGGGTGCACCAGGGTGGCTCACCCATTAGAAGCATAGATGAAGCTCCACAGTCTTGATAATCACCACCACTGCTCTCACCTGTTAGACTCGAAAACGAAATATTGGAGTGTGGCTTCCCATAACAAGGGTTCGGTTCAGTTTTACAGCTCCTTAAAGAATCGGCTGATGCTGCATTACTGTAAGCTGGTTGAGCTCCATTTCCAGGTCCAGTCGAAGACTCCTGAAAAAGAACCAAAAAACGACAAAGGGAATAACTGTCAGCATTATGCTAGATGAACAATAATAACAAAATCGGCTTTATAAGATGTCAAATATGCCTAGATATCCTAATAGACTGCTTTATAGGACTTAAGTCTATATAGCCAAACAATTGTGCGTCCTATGTAAAGATTTTACATAGGATGCACAATTGTTTGGTCCTATAAAGCAGTCTGTTATGATGTTTAGACATATTTGGCGTATAAAAGTCGGGTTTGTTGCAGGGAGACTGGTAATATGAAGAACAGTCACGACTACGATACCTTGGCACCATATGCACCCTGACAATTGGATTCTGCAATAGAGGCGTCGTTAGTACCAAATAAGCTATCAATCCCATCTTTTGCGAAAAGATGTTCTGGATCGTTATGCCCTACGCCAAAGAGTACTTCATATTTCTCGATGCTTAAATCAACTTCGTCCATATTGAAATCATCGTAGAACCCCTCATCCATGAATTGTTCAGCCCCTTTTGTACCTGAAATCTGTATAGAAAAAGGAATTGTCATGACCCCAATTCAATACCAGTAGGATGTGATTCTTATTCATCATGAATAACCCTGTTATTCATCATGAATGTCATTTATTTTCATGATGTATATTAGTCATCATGAACTTCA